TCGTATCATAAATATGTTATAAAAATCGACTTAAACCTCTCGAAACTAACAGATGTTTAGTACCTTTTTATCGAATCTCAGTTCAATCAGCTTCCAAGTTACTAAATTCTTACTATTATCCAGAATCGGAAGCAATGAAGTAAGCCTTTGTGTAGGGAAGCACAACACCCAGACCCGAAACAATAGAGAAAAAAACATTTTCTAAACTGACCTTAACAAGAATCGAACCTCATCTCAGAGTTGACGATAACAATACCGTCATGCGAATAACTCTGCCACGGATATTCTCATATTGTATTATTTCTACTAATTTTCAGATATCAATTAATGGCTATTTAGGTAAACGTAGAAAATTATTTGAATTATCTAAAATAGTTGTGTTATTGAATCAATTTTAATTTTGTTCTACTCTTTATTGAATGAATGAATAGAGTTATCTTAAGTGTGTACTATTCCTTACTTTTGTGCTCAGACCGTATATGTGAATGTGATAAAGGGACTCTTAGATGTCATGTTTTTGCAGCCCTCGGGTACATACCTTAAGGTTAGGCATATTTTAGAGCCCTCATAATCACACCAACTCTAATTTAAACTTTAATACAGTCGTAATAGAGTCGATTTCCAATTCTTATGTACATTATTCTGAAAATATTAAGCGATTTGAATTTTATCTCTTCTATATAAAGAACATATTAACATTAACGTATTATAAGTAGGTCCTTTAATTGATAGTTTGTTAAAATGTGGGTCGAGTTTAACGAAGATATAATATTTTTGGGTACGCACTTACTATTCGAAATATGAGCAGCCATATTCTATAAATAAGGTTGCGTGCACACGACAGTCACAATCTTGGATGAAGTAGGTCGCAATTATTCAATTCACGCGTAACAACGTTATCACTATAGAGCTATGCTCATTGTAGACAAGAGCTCGTGACAACAATGTGCGAGAACTTTCCGAAGCTTGATATTTCAGTATGTTGAAGTTCTAAAAGTATACGCGACTTGGTACCCAGGGCGGAGATCCCGCGCTGGAACTATTGGAATAGGCTATAGTATAAGTTGTGGTCAACATATAACTTTGTATCTGGAACACTAGGAACACTTCTATCGATTGCCGAATAGTTTTTTTTTTAACTGCTAATAAGTAGTTTAATAATAAATTAACTCTTAACCAATACGAAACTTTTCGGAGTTCATTTTCACACCAACTTCTGAGATCCTGAGAAGCCGCTTTTCACAATTGTATAATCAGTTAAGTATAATCAGTATAAGCAGTTAAGTCTACTTTTCAATATTGAGTTCGTAAGGACCTATCATAGGATGGGTAATCAAAAATATATTTTCTCGAACTCTTTCGTACTTTGTAAAACACATTACTTAGTCTAGCCCTAAATATTAATAATAACAGTATTCATGTTTAAAGCTCTAACGAAGCTTCATGATTAGCCAACAGATTATAACGAACTAGCTGGCCAAGTAGCAAAGCTAGCTACTACACTGAAAACAGCGCTAGAATTTCCCCGTATCTTATTATAAAAGAATGGACAAACTAGAAACTGAAAAAATATACATATTAATCAATGCTTTTAGTTGTTTTTGTTTGCTGAATTATTAAAGTTATACGAAATTTACAAAATGTCGAATTGATACAAACAATGCTATTTCGAAAAGAAAAACAACCAAAATATTAATCACAATCATAATTTAAACCCGTATGATCACCAAACAGTAATAAATAATAAATAACCACCACAGCATACATTAAATAACTTGGTCATATAATAAACTAAGGAATTTAATAGAAACATAATCTAAGCCCGTCGTGAACAGATCCAAACCATAAAGTAACACAAACTAAAATCGACGATTATACTGCTCGTATACCATTAGCGAGAGTTTTTTATCTAATCTTAAAAAAAGACGTATAACAAAATTTTAAAAAATCGTGGGCTTTATCAGATTTCAGTGATGGTTTGGTGAGGTGTTAACTATGAAAGAATGACCGAGCTATGTTTTTGTGAAAAGGGCATCAAAACATCAGCACAAGTGTAAAAAGATACCATTCTCGAGAAGGTAATTAAGCCCCTTACCAATACCATGTTCAATAACCAAGAACGGTCCTTTCAGTAAGACTCTGCACTAGATCATAAAGCCCGATTCACCGATAGAAATCTTGGTTCTGGACTTCATCAGAGCTCAAAACTGACCGTAGATAACGGTCATATCTTAATTAACTGGATAATAATTTATGGTAATTATATAATTTATGGATAATAAGCTTGCTCTAAACGCTACGATAATTTGAGCCCTTAAAACAATTCATACAACTAGCAATTAAGAATTTCCCCATGGAAAGAATGTGTCTATTGATAACTGGCCTAAACGTGTATTGCAGCCAATGGAGACCACTTCGAATAAGCTATATTATTTTGAATTGATGATAATTCACTTGCATGTCATGCAACTGAAGATTTAAATGTGACGCGACTACGGTATGCTTTGCTGTTCTATTAAAAAAACAGCCTCATACGTACCGTCAAGCAGAACGCAGAACAAAAGATAATAAAGGTTTTATTCGATTGAAGCTCTGTTGAAGCACAGCTGTTCAAAATTACTTCGTTTGCATAAAATTCATCACTGCATCGGAAATAACGTAGCATAACACACTCGAGAGCGTTTTGTCAACACTCAAAAGCGACTTTTGGGTGCGCGTGCGCCAATATTTTGAGGCCCATGCCACCCGTACATCTCATTCTCGAACGAAGAAGTGACGTTTGGTGTATTTGCATGCTGTGGCCTGACCAGATTAATAAATAATCTGCATTTAACGATATGGACGACTGATCGTATGACTGCTTCATGATTTGGCCAAACATTAGTGACCTTATCATAAAATAGAGGCGCTTATGTCGCACAGATTGGATCGCATATTATACTACAAACAAAAGAAACTAGGCTGGGTCTGTGCAGTATTTATGAAGAAGCTATTTCAGCAAGTTATTAAATTTTTTTGGACACCCTACATTAACGATATGGCCACACGTAGATAGCCATATCATTAAAAGTTGACATGAAATGGCCGCCCGCATCATGAAATGATCATTGTCTATGGTCTGTCCGCGACATATATAAAGCGTTTCTAATTTGTGATGTTACGCATGCTACAAGAATCGCCTTTTAAAAAGTTTAATCAGCTGAATTTAATTTGTTTGGGTTAGAAATATGTCAAACGTTTTTCTACCGGTTCCAGGCATAAAGTCCTTTTTCGTTAGTTCAAAAAAAAAAGGAAAGTGACAGTTAATGAGCCATATTTATGCGGTTAAGTTAATAGTATTGCAACTAATCTTATGAAAGGTGTAATCGATTAACTTGTATGCAATATTAACAGTACAAAACTAACATAAATAAAAAGGTTCATATGATTACAAAAAGAAACTTTATTTTAGTGTATATTAAAACACATCTGACTTAACACGGCAAGAGTAAATTAACTCTTGACTACTATTTAACAAAATATAGTTGTATTAAATAGAGACGTGTGAGAAAATAATTTTTAATAAATAAATACTATATTTACAATATAAATTTTTGTGAAAATAATAATTATAATAATCAACAATTTCGTTAGCGACTAAAGATATTTCAGATCACAGTAATTTGCCTATATGATAATCAGAATCGGATTGAATAAGTTTAAAAATCAATACGTTATATATATATATATATATATATATATAAATATATATAAATATATATATATATATATATATATGGATACGACAGTGAAATCTGAAGTTAAATGTATAGGTATACATATACTCGAACGTAATATACTCGAAAAAGTTCATTTAAAACTTAAAGAAAAATCCCCAATAGATATATTTTTTAACAATTTACATTTAAATACCAAATCTCTGACATAACCACATAATACCAACATATCCTAAAGCAAAATGAACATCACTCACATTTAATAATATTAGTTTTCATTTTCAATATAATATATCAATCAATTCACAGACATACATATCTATACATGATATATATTTGTAATAACAGATGCTCGATGGACCATAAGAATTATGGGTTATAATAAATACTAACTAACAAACAAGAAAAAAAAATTAATCTTTTTTTATATACCCAAAAAAATGCTGTCTGCCATATTTATTACGTCATTACGGTATGTTAATATATTAAAAGATATCAGTCAGGTAATAACAGCACCATTGACGATCTGTTAAAAACTAAATACACATCTTTGAGACAAGAAAGGAGCCATCTAGGGATCTAAGACAAAATAAATAGGTAATTGTTTAAGACTGGTCTGGAAGACAGCTACAGAAAGTATCATATTGTTATTATATGTGAATGAATATATCATACTTCATTCGAAGATTGGACACTAGATACAGATTAAAAAGACCATGATCATTATTTCAGTTGGAAATGTATTAAAAGGGACAGTAATATATGTTGGAGGCTGTAAGGTAGGTAGGAAAGGTCCTATCATCATTGCCATTACTGTTTCTGTTTTTAATATGAACAAGAGACTAGTTTAAATTTGGGACAATATATGGATTATTTATGAAACAATTACATATGCAAGTTACTTTTCAACATATGCAGGTATTTATTATAATATAAACAATTTTCTGTCTGTGTTTTTACAGAGATGAAATTTGTTATGTATTTTTTATTTTTCTAATTTACGTATAAAATTAAAATTGTAATAAAAATAGGATTTTTATTGCCAAGCAATTTAATAGTTTATTATCTTATTATTACAACATATACTTACCTGCTTTTATTTATACGATTGAAGTTCATTTTTGATCGTTTTGCAGACATTAAAGTATTTGATTTCATTTACCGAGCCACTACGTAATATCACAATAAGCCAAGCGGTCGTTGACCTTATTCATAGAGAAAAAGAGTCCATAACATACCCTTCTATTAATATTATAATCTTAAAGGCACTCGCATGATCACAGCTCACACGATATTCCTTTCGACGCCGGTCACGTCCAAACTGTCGTCGTCGGAAGCGTCGGAACTCCTATCCCCGCCGGGATAGAGCTCACTGATGGGGGAGTCGCACGCGAGGGCGTTTTCGAGTATCCTCTCGAGTTTGGGCTGGACATCCCCGAGGTGGGCTCGCCGGGAGGGCTCCGAGGCCCAACAGGAGACCATCACCTCCCAGCACTCGTCGGTGAAGTGCGGCAGGCGCTCCGGGCGGAGACCTCTCTTCACCTTGCTCCAGAGCTGCTCCTTGTTCAGAAACATCTCGAAGGCGGAGGGTAGTCGGACGGTGCCCGCACACAGGTACCTGAAAAGTGAGGAAGCTTGTGCACTACACTGAATTTTCAGGTCCGGCGGTCCGACTTTTTCCGGTCCGGAATGACATGAAAAACCCGGATGAGTAGCTTGTGCACTTATCCGTTTTTTTCCTGATCGAAGCGGCGCAGTGTAGGGCAGCTCTTTTTGAAGCTACACGTCACTTACGCTAGGTACGATGAGATTTTTGGAACGTCGGTAATTGCGTTCGAAGATGTAGAAAGATACCTAAATAACGACCTGATCATTTTACAAAAACCATAATAAATTGAGGCAAGACGAAAGCATATTTTTTATTACTATCGGATGATTACTATCAGATGTAAAAACTTATACCCTTACTAATTTAGGGACAGCATTATTTACATACAATAGCTAAAAATATCTGTGACATTAGAATAAAATTACTTGATGTTTAAATTTATAAACATGCGATTTTTTTGTGAAGTTTTGTAAAAACAACTTTAAGCGATTACAGAGAGACTAATCGGTGGCGCCATTCGTAAACAAATTTAGTGCCGTGTAAGCGGAGAATTAATATGCTAAATGAACTTTACGAGATCAGTTGACTGTATTATATATAGGCATAATTTTATACGCATGGTGTAGTTTCTTTGAGCAGAAATACTTTTCCCTTAGAATACTTCTTTTTTTAAATTTATTTATGACACAAACAGTCATTTCAAATTTTATTAAATGCGAAAAAGACATCGAGTGCCACTTATTACTTCTGTTAATCTTCTGTTTATTCTTTATTATTACTTCTGTTATTAAATATTTATCTATACTTATCAATTGTCTAAAAAAAAATTGATAATGACAAATTTCCAGGCCAACTTTCATGCCCTATTTTTCGTGATAAAATTTAGCCTATGTCCTTTCTTAAAGTTAAGTCTATTTACTATATTAATTTCCATTAAGATGGGTTCAGTTGTTTAGGCGTCTAAGCGTAACAACACTTATTTATCTTACCTTAAGTTATCGATACTTTTAATACGATTCTAAAATCTAGCTAAGTATCGATACTAGAACCATACGCTGATCAAATTAGAACTACACCGAGTTTGCCAAAGCATATGCAGTGATATTTACCGACTTTTTAAAATCATCATATAAAATATAGCATTTTATAATCTACAATAAATATCGATTATAAGTTTATTGGAAAATTACAATATCGCCGAAATAAATATCGATTTTACACAAATCGAATATTTTTTCCCAAGCCTATTCTTTATGAATTTTCCGGATCGCGGACACAGCAGTGCACGAGCGTAAATACGTTTTTCATCGCCGCCATCACGGACCTGAAAAAACCGGTCCGGAATAGAGAAAAGTAAAATCCCGGACGGTAAAATTCCTGATAGTGCACAGGCTAGCATTACTCATATATGGCCTGACATATCGGACCTGAAAAAATCGGACCGCCGGACATGAAAATTCAGTGTGGTGCACAAGCGCCCTGAGAAGCTCGGACCGTATTCGTAGGAGGAGCGGGGCGAGGGGCGGGACACGGAGAGGTGTCTGACCAGAAGAGGATGCCGAAGGCGTAGACGTCGACGGACGCGTCGTAGGCCTGCGCGAGCAGCTCGGGCGCCATGTGCACGGGCGTGCCCACCAGCGAGCCGGCCAGCAGCGCGCCGCACGCGCAGAAGCCGAGGTCCGACAGCGCCGCGCGCCCGCCGCCGTCCAGCAGCACGTTCTTCATCTTTATGTCGCGGTGCACCAGCCCGAACGAGTGCAGGTACCGGATGCCTGTGCACACAACATATATATTTGCGGATCGAGAGACGCCGTCTTAACGTCTCCTCGAAAAGAGTATGTCATCAGCGCCAGAGTTAAAAAATAAAGAAAAAAAAAGATACAAAAAGTAATTAATAAATGTTTGTATAAATAATACTTTTACTTTAAATTTTATTTAGCGCAAGCTCGCTGTAATCAGTGAACGATATAAATACTAGTATGTATGTATACCCTCGACGATATCGCAGCTGATCCTCATCCGGGTCGCGAACCCGAGTCCCGCGCGCACGGCGGCGTGCAGGTCGCGCACCTTCCGCTCCGACACGAGCAGCACGCCGGGCCCCCCTCCCCCGCCCCCGCCCCGCTGCACTATCGACCCGTAGAGCCGCACTATGCGCGGGTGGGGAGGGATGCTCCTGCGCGCACACAACATATATACTGTTAAGAAGCCCTACTAGATGGTGTTGTACGCCAACGAATCGCGTGAACACTGTTGAAATTACCTATGCATATCCGTATATTTCATGACGGCAAAAAAAGTCCCCAGGGAAGAGAGGGACGGGGAGTTGTTCTAGAACTTTTTGAGAACGCTCGAAATACACCGGGAGGGCCGAGGACACACCTAGAAACATTCTAGACGCGATATCGGGGGCTACAAATACACGGCATCCTGGCATTCTTCAGTGAACGAGCGATCGGAAGAGAAACTCGAAGCGGTTCCTAGAGCGATGGACGATCTAATAGTGTTGAGAAGTGTTCCCGTAAGTAGATAGTTGAAAAGTGAATTCTGTAGTTGGATTATTTATGTAATTTTATTGTGTTAAACAAAGTCAAATCGTGAACTATAACCGGTCCTCAGTCGGAGCAACACAATCTGTACTGATATAATAATAATAAAATCCGACCTGGTGTAGAAGAACTCCATGGCGAGCTCACGGTAGTGGCGCTCGTCGGCGGGCAGCACGGACTTGACGGCGACGGGCGCGCGCCCCCCCCACGCCCCGCGCGCCGCGTACACCACCCCGTACTGCCCGCGCCCTGCACACGTCCACGTTACAACGTCCACAATACACACCTACGCGCCCTGTCTCGCTCGGCTTTAGCTTCCGCTTTAGCCCCTCCGCTGCGACCGCGAAGGCGCGTTTCGTGCGTTCGATGCTTCGCGATCGTCGTCGCAAACGCGTTAAGCGTGCTGTGTGGCCTAGCGCGGATGCGACGACGTCGAGAGCGAAATTCACGCCGTCTAGCCGGTGCCCCTCGCGTCTTGAGCACCTTTGACGTTGATGAATTTTATAAACGTATGCGTACGACGACGCGTCCGCACGGGCGCGCTCCCATTCAGACAATTATCGATGCGTATGCATGAAGAGAACTTGATCTTTGTACAGTGAGCGCCCACTGATAATACGCGCACGCGCCCGCGCCGTCCGTCAACCCAAAACTACACCGAAAACCACTGGCCTTATCCCGATTCTGTGTGAGTAACGATTTGCGAATTTCGAATGTTTCCCGATACAGAATCTTAAAAACGTTCAATTCGAGTGTATTTGAAAACGATTATGTTTTCAAACATATTTAGGAGAATATTATTGAACACACTCGTACTTTAACAAGAATTTAAATAATGATATAAAAATATTACTTCGAAAACAACGAATTCGGTTTAAAGCTATAGAAAGTTTTTTTTTTTCAGATTGAATCCATGAAATCCATGTTTTGATTTAAAAAGTAGGTTTTTTTTAATAAATATGTTGATTTAAAATTAGTTTTGAAATATTGTCAACTCACGGATTGAAAGCGAGAAATCTACGACACATTATAAACCGGTATCTGTCCCTGGCTTCTGCTAGCCGTTTGGGACTATGAGGTGTTCAACTATCATATAGGCAAATATATTACTGAAAGTATTGAATTGTGGCAAAGTTAAATTTTTCCTTATTTTAAAGCCAGGTCAAAATCAAGCCATCTGCCCTACATCATATTTAGAAGGGTTTCGTCACAGTCAAAATGAGAATTTTTCTCATGAGAAAATAATTGAAAAATACTCTAAAACTCAAAATTTTTATTAAACTATCAGAAATACAGATTTTACTATTTTTTTTAATGTAAATACAAAATTTATTATCTAATTTATTATTTACATAAAAAAAACTTGTGCTCTTGTGAATTCTTGTGCAAATACTATTGCGATATCTACATTAGTTGCAAAGTAACATTTTTAACTAGATTTATGTGTACACTCCATACGCACCTATTTCTCGGCCCAACTCCGGTACTCCGTACATGAGGAGATCGCACATGGACGTGCTTTCTAAACACAAACGGGCGAAAGACGGAGCGTACCTGTCGATAAAACAACACGGACTCCATTATTAGAGGCACAAGATACACAATTTATTTATCGAAAAATAGCAAATCGCTTACTTTTTTCTTATCGCTAATTTAACATCTTCTGTGTGATGCAACCGATTGGTCAACACGGTCTCGAGTGAAGTTAACGCCGATTGATATCTTTCGTGAGCTTCACTTAGCCTTTCTAATATCTGTAGGGAAAATAATATAATAATCAATAGGGTATTTTACTCTGTTTAAAATAATACTTGGTACTGTTGTATTAATTTATGAAAGCAATAAAACTGAAATAGCGTCAGCGTGGTCGGGAGAAATTATACTATGTTCTAGGTTATATACTACTTAAATACGTCTTATATACTACTTAAATTTAAGAGGGGGATATAAGGGTACGTGATAAGTAAATGGTAAGGAAGCACACTTATCGAACGTGAATTATTTGCATATATGTGCATTCCATCCAAATCACGTTTGTAACGTGATTATTAATATTTACATACTACAAAATAAAATCAATATTTAATCTTTTATTATACCCTCGAAAATGTTGTCCGCCATATTAGTTATGTCATTGTGATATGTACACAAAATTTGAACAGCTCGAGTAGCAGATTAAAAGATGTCAATAAAACGAATAATGCCATTTAACTCCAGATTTCGAAATAAAGAGATACAAATGAGGGAAGAACAGCGCCATCTCGGAATTCGACTTATAATTAATAGGCATATATATATCTACGACAAATCTGACAGCTGTCGCCCCAAGGGCAGCACACGACGCCAAAAAATCACTATTTTTAATTTTAAGATTCACGATCAGAATTTCCATATTTATTACGATGTAAATCGTAGGTTCTGTGCAATTTCGTGACTCATTTTGCACTGCTAAAACTACCCTATCACAGGACTAAAACAGTAATTTGCACAGGAACTGAAAATGACTAATGAACGGCCGATGCTGCCCAGAGGACGGTGTACCTCTTTTTTATACCGAAGGCAACTGAGCCTTAACATTCGATGGAGTACCTGCGCGGACACGAGGCGCGCCAGACCGCGCGGCGCCAGACGCGCCAGCGCCGCCAGCGCCGCGCGCCGCCGCCAGCGCGCGCTCAGCGGGCAGCACTCCGCCGCGCCCCCCGCCGCGCCCCCGCCCCCCACCGCGCCCAACCTAACGGGATTTGTTTTCGATATCAGTTCGATTTCGCTACGTTAAATACGCAAGCGGCACCCGGAGGATGCAAAAAAAACAATTTTTATTTTAGACTATTTAATATAATTAAAATATTGCAACTAAGTATGTGACTACTGTTCGATGGTGTAACAAAAAGTGCCGCTTTGTAAGTCGTCGCCGCATCGTCCGGTGTCCGATGATGCACGTTCCGCAGCGTCAGCGCCTCGTGACTGGTTCATAGTTTGTTTCGTAATTTTGGGTAATCGCTAGCTTGCAGGTTGCACGATGTGGCAGTGTAACACGTTGTTCGCTAATTAATGTTAGCAAACAATAATTTATGGCAAGTCATTCGATACGGCAGGGTTATGTCTTCATAGTGAAAGTACAAGTTACTATTTATGTTCGAAATATATTAGCCGTTTCAATTTGTAAGTATTTAGTTTCTTAGTAATCAATTCCGTAAAATAAATTAGAAAATATTATGCTGTAAAAACTTGAAGAAAGCAAGAAAAATACTGTATATGCTACAAATATTTATTAAAATACTTATGGCATTTAATCAGTTACATAAAACTTAACAACTTTCACTGCAGCAGCTGTAAACATAAATGTGCAAACAACTCAATATTTTATAAAGATCGCCCAGACGCCCTTTAATTTTCGCTACCGTAATACCGTATGACGTTTAACTTGTTTAACAACTTTACTTGTAGCAAGCCTTTTCGGCCGACTTACAGCAATCCCAGACATACACTTATCTCCGAAACAGTTAATCACAGACATACTGCTCCTTCCGTATTAATACTTAGATATTAATGGACTATATATTAATAACTATAACTAGATAATATTTTGCGATCTGTCAAAAGCATTAGATTGCGTTAATCATGAAAACTGTTGAGGAACTCAAAGCATTATGATGCGAAGAAAAATTCACTTAATGTAATAACATCAGCTCTTTCTGCTAAAATTCAAAAAATATTAATTAATGAAGCGAAATCTGCAGGGGCACCCGTTACTATGGGCGTACCTCAGGGATCGGTATTAGGACCATTGCTTTTTCTAAATTACATTAATGATCTTCCTCACTTTACGAAGAATTTGTGCGAGACAGTATTATTTGCTGATGACACCTGTTTAGTGTTTAAAGTTAAGAGGGGTAATGATTGTTTTGACGATGTAAATGATGTTCTCGACAATATTCTACAGTGGTTCAATAATAATAATTTAAAGCTTAATTCAAATAAAACGAAATGCATAAATTTTGCATTACCTAATGTGAGTTATGTTAGTAAACTTATAAATGTAAAATATAGTGAAAAAGTTGAGTTGGTGAAATCACCAACTCAACTGACAAAGTTCCTTGGTATTACATTAGATTCCCGACTGCAATGGGAACTTCATATTGATAACTTGTCAAGTAGACTAGTGCTGCAATATTTGCTGTTAAGAAAATTAGACTCTTGACAAATGTTGAAACGGCAAGATTGGTATATTTTAGTTATTTTCAAAATGTAATGTAATGACGTATGGTCTATTGTTGTGGGGTTCTGCGGCTAGCATTCAAGATATTTTTATTCTACAAAAGAGAGCTGTCCGCGTTATATATAATTTATACGGTCTAAAGAATCTCTCAGAGAAATATTTAAAGAAATAAATATTTTGACTGATACCTTTCTTAAGAGTAAAGGCTATTATAAAGTCGATGATTATTTTAAGGATCGCAATGCATGGAATGAATAGCCTTCGATTTGTTCTATAACGACTAATTATATGTACTACCCATGACCTACAGACTTTGAAAGTTGTTTTTATCGTTGCGATAATACATATTATTCGGTAATGTCATGATTTATGTAAACGTTATTACTTATGATAAAGAGCCGGTAAGTTCCTTTCGCTCGTTCGTCTTGTCAGCTAAAAGACGTTCTGAACAAGAGGTAGGAGGAAAAAAAATCTATTGGACGATTCAAAAGTGCTCGTAATAAGCCTACTTGAATAAAGATATTTTCATTTCATTACATTTCAATAAAATAGTTAAAGAGTCAACTGGCCTATTGTACCCTATCGTATCCCCTCTCCTCCCGCCTGCCGCCTGCGTAATCCGCAACACTGTAGAGCGGTGAGTATCGCGCTACCTGTAGAACAGCCGCCGCAGCGAGTCCAGCAGGTCGCGCAGCGGCGAGGCGCGGGCGGCGGGCTGCAGGTGCACCGTGTAGAGCGGTGAGTATCGCGCTACCTGTAGAACAGCCGCCGCAGCGAGTCCAGCAGGTCGCGCAGCGGCGAGGCGCGGGCGGCGGGCTGCAGGTGCACCGTGTAGAGCGGTGAGTATCGCGCTACCTGTAGAACAGCCGCCGCAGCGAGTCCAGCAGGTCGCGCAGCGGCGAGGCGCGGGCGGCGGGCTGCAGGTGCACCGTGTAGAGCGGTGAGTATCGCGCTACCTGTAGAACAGCCGCCGCAGCGAGTCCAGCAGGTCGCGCAGCGGCGAGGCGCGGGCGGCGGGCTGCAGGTCCACCGTACGCGCGGCGGCCAGCAGGCGGCGCGCGGCGGCGCTGGCGGGCCGCCCGCCCAGCTGCTGGCGGCAGCACGCCTCCAGCGACTCCAGGCATCTGCGGCAAGGGACATATCATACATCGGCAAATCGCCCCCCCCCGCACAAAACGTTCGAATACTCTCGATAGTACCTTTGCAGCGTTCCGAAGTACGTGTCCTTGAGGCGGTCGATGAATTTCACCAGCTTCAGACTTATTTTGCGGCTCAGCTTCGACAGAACTGTGAACGGTGGCGGTTTTTTATTAGAGGTGGTTCGAAGCCTCCCGGACGTGGAACGATACGAGAGAGAATAGTATAGAAAGCAGAGTGATCCGCATATTAGGGTAAACGTATTACTCTCGTTGAGCGGAACGACATATTTTGTTGGTGTAGAACTTTTTGATAATTTTGTAGACACACATGAAACATATCTTAAAAAAATTATTTAAAATAGTATCATTCCTTCGACAACGTGAATTCTAAAAATAAATTTAATTTTCAAAATTTCCCGCGCTTTGGCATTTCGCCGCCACGGCGTCAGGCCCATCGAAAACTAATATACTTCTAAGTATGTATAAGACTATTCACTCGTGACTCGATGCGATTCGATAGTCAATTTAAATTGCATGTACTCGAACGTACCGATGGAGCGCGTTGCAATTCGACCGATTTATTGGAGATCTGTACGAACTTTTCTAAATTCAATATATCTTTATTTATGAAGTTTAACGAATAGATTAAGTGATCAATTTCTTTGATTTGACTTAACGGGGTGGGGTGGGACAGGCGTTGCGCGATTAGGCGGGGTGGTACGATTGCAAGAATTAAGAAACGTTCGCATAATCGGTAATGAAATGGGTGATAATTTTTTTTTTTTTAAATTCGATCCCATTACTAGATAGGGCGAAATGGTGCGTAGTGTGGTGGGCTTTTGCTCTCCTAATTGGTGAGTGCATTTGATCTGCCATTACGAAGATGAAGCGACGTACCTACGCAAAGGCTAATAATGGGACGACTGTACGAGTCAATGTACATTGTATGTAGGTAAAAATAATAGTCTGATCAGCATTTCAAGTTCAACGCTCTGTAACCTAAATTCACGTATTAATTATTGTCATTTATAAATTTATTACATTAAATCAGTGTACAAACAGCACTCATTGGGTTTGGTGATTTATTACGTTTCCCTCTCCCTACATATCCGTATAAACTGTAGGTATCCCCTACAGTTTTTTGGTCCTTCGAATAATAAGGACTTCGCGTTCGCGTCGCGTGCGTGTAGTTTTTTATAACCAGTGACTTAAAAATCGTGACTACGTCACTCTATCACAGACAGTGATCTCACATACAGTGTTCTACCAAATAGTGACTATCATAAACTGTGAACTGTTCTATACGTAATTTGGTTGCGTTCGTGGTATCCCACTATTCGAACAGAAGTTCTGCCGACAAGCGGACACACCGTAGCCGACATCTTCCACAGCAGATTTGTATCCTGTTATCAAGTAAGGTTTTGCTTATTAATTATTAACAGCATCAGGATGGAGAAACTTTTCAAGCATCAAGAAGATATTCTTGAATCGATCAAACAGATCGACCGCAACTTTGGTAAGGACTCCGCGACTCGTAAGACGCGTGAGTATTTACGGGACAGGCTGGACAGGCTAGACAAACAATGGGCAGAGTTCCAATCGATTAACGACAAATTATCAGTGTATGGAGAAACTAATCATCCGTATTTTATCGAAAATCAATATGAAAAGACTAGAAAATACTTCGAGTCGGTAAGACATAAAATATTTTCATATTCGGCGACAGCAGCCTTAGAGAGTACAGATGATGACAACCCACCAGGTCGGTCGAGAATATCTCGCACGCGACCCGGCACGCCGGAGCCACCGGCCGCTCCCACCGCCTCCCCGAGACAGGGCGGGCAAGTAGTAGCCGAGCTACTGATGTTGCAACGCACCAACTTTAGAGCATTTAAGCGTCTGACACGAAATATCAAGGTAAATGAAATTAATGTTAAATGGGAATTAGAAGATGAGCTAAGGAGTATTCAATCACGATGGAATACTATAGATTCGTTACATTTGCAAATTGACAATGTACTTCAAGGATCCGATTCTACTTACGAAGAAGAGTTCTACTACTACGAGGAGTCGTTCAAAGACATTAAGAGGGCTCTAAATCAGAAGTTAGCAGCTACAGCGCATATTCAACAAGCTACTCCACAGCTTGAGGTACCTGTATTCACAGGACGGTACGTACAATGGCCTACGTTTTGCGATTTATTTTCCGAAACCATTCATAATAACGGCTTACTTACAAAGAGCCAAAAGATGCAGCATCTGAAAGGGAAGGTGAGAGGTGAAGCAGAACGCCTCATCCAACACCTACATATATCGCCAGAAAACTACGATACAGCATGGGAGCTACTGAACCACAGGTACAATAACCCTCAAGTCCTTTTTACGAAACATATTGAAGCTTTTCTCAGTCAACCGATTGTTCATAAACAAACTGCCAATGAAATAAAACGTCTCTATGATACTTCCATGGAAAATATACACGCGATTCAGAATCTGGGTATCGATACATCAACATGGGACCCGATACTGGTTCATCTTATAACAAAGAAACTGGACCCGGAGACTTATGCCGACTATAAAGAAGCTCGCAAATCACCTCGGGCTTTACCTTTGTTAACTGAGCTTATGAGTTTTTTAGAAAGTAAATTTACTGCTCTCGAGCCTATTAACACAAAGGAAAGAGAAGTGTCATCTATACCAAACAGGTTTAACTATCCAGCGAAATTTCCTTTTAAGCCCGCTTATAAAAAATATAATCATTTTAATCATTCCAACAGTGGAAAAGTGCCGAATCGGGAATATCAAGCCACAGCTACTTCGAGCAATTGGTCTTGTCCTTATTGTCATCAAAGTCACGTTTTATATAAATGTACTAAATTCCTAAGACTAAAGACCGATGTAAAATTAAAAACTATTTCGAAATTACAAGTATGCAAAAACTGTCTATACAAGCATTATGATAATAAATGTAATGCGACTAAAACGTGCAAAATTTGTCAACTCGACCACAACACAATATTACATGACGCATATGCGACTGTCGAGTCAATGCCCTCCACCTCAACGAGGTCAACCCGTGACACCACATCCACATCAGTTCAGCTACAGGACAATACACCGGCAATCAAGGAGCATAGTGTCAACTACGTCGCGACAGATAATGAAGAAGTACTGCTTACCACATTGTCGATTAAAGCGAAAGCGGTAGATGGTACCCTAGTCAC